ATCTCTGTAAATGAAAACTAAAGGGGTTGATATGTGCGAGTTAATGACGCGCCTTATCAACACATTGTGTTGGAGTTCACTGCTTGTTTTTTAATTTTGTATTCTTTCACGCTGTGTTATTTTACTCTTTTCTCTATTTTATTTTATTTTATTTTATTTACTTGATTTGTTCGTTTTTTCCTTTAATTCATTTCAGTTTATTACTTTACTTCATTCTATTTTTTACCTTTTTTTTCATTTTTACCTTTATTTCATTTTATATTCTTTTTTATTCATTTTACTCTACTTTATTATTTCACTCTATTTCATTATATTCCCTATTTTATTTTTTACTATATTTTATTTTCTTAATTTTGTATTCTTTTACGCTGTGTTATTTTACTCTTTTCTCTATTTTATTTTATTTTATATTATTTTATTTTATTTTATTTTATTTTATTTTATTTTATTTTATTTTATTTTATTTTATTTTCTATGTTTCATTTTCAGACTGCATTATATTTCTCACTTTATTTTGTTTTTTCATTTTTTTCATTTTCTAGTGTCCGCTTCTAACGTATACTTTTTTTACGACATTTCATGTCTTTAATCTATTTTATTTTTACTTCATTCTTGTTTTTATTTTACTTAATGTTCTAAATTTCCTTTTTTTACATATATTTATTCTTATAGTTTTTTCCACTGTAGATATAAAAATGTTTAGCACAAAGCAAATTTTCTATATCTACCCATGATATTATCCAATAATTAGCTAGTCAATATTTAATTTTTCCTTACTTAATCCTGAAACTCAAATGTGATCTGTGTGATGTCATCTAGCTTCCAGGTGATGTCACCTACCTTCCAGGCGATGTCACCTATCTTCTAGGTGATGTCACCTACCTTAATTCTAGGTGATGTCACCTACCTTTTAGGCGATGTCACCTATTTTTTTGGCGATGTCACCTATTTTTTAGGTGATCAGTTTTTACCAGGGTTGTTCACTCCGCCGTGGGCGTGGGTACCTACTACAAAAGCATGCTATATAAACCTGCGCACGTTATTGATAAAACAAACAATTCGAATCGAAATTCGATTCGGCCAATTAGATTTCGATCATTTTTTCGCGATGTTTAAAATGACGTTAGTCACTAAATCAGTCTATCGGTCGTCAGGAACGGTGTTGTAACCGATGATAAGGGCGCGGTGCTGAAACCTTACCCCGAGGTGTCTGAAGTACTGAAGAAATTAACAGAGGAGAATATCACGCTGGCCGTAGGCTTCCGATCCGAATTTAAAGAGGAGACGGAAACTTTGCTCAAGTATTTCGACTTCAGGCGATACTTCAAATACGTCATCGCCCGGGCTCGCTCCAAGCGATTCTCCTTTGAGTCGTAAGTATCCACAGCTGTCATTTACTTGTTTTACCGGTGAAACCTAACAGTTCGAAGGGATGTGGATTTATATTCGATCCGCCCATAAAATCAGTTTTTGTTAACCAGAAAAACCGAACCTATTTTGTAACCTAGATTTATTGAGCGAGTCGAGTGTCTCTGGTTTTTTCGCGAGTCAATCTTCCGCAGAAATTAGTAAAGAGCTTGATGCAAAAACGACGTCATTCGCCCCCCCCCTTCCCCTCTGGAATTTTATCAAACTTCGTCTATCAATTACTCATACTTGAGAGGTTCTGGTTCTCTTCCCAAATTTTCAGACCCCCAGCAATGTTGGGAAGGCGCTGGGTGAAGGGGGGGGGGTGGAAATTAAAACCTGTGAACCTCGATATCACTCGAATGAAGAAAGATATCGAGGTCCGGTTTTGGACGAAAAATCATCATCATATCAATTTAATATTGTATTCTTCAAGATTAAATCCCAAAATCATATTATCAAGTTGATTTGTGTGATTTTTTCAGTTTTTGAGTCGAAAAAATGTCTTATAAAGGAATATAAAAGAATTTTAATTTTTTATTAGAACCAAAAGCAGTTTTTTTAATTGTTCCTCTTTTTCTACATCCAAGGAGTGGTCCATTTAACTAGAGAACCAAAGGGTTCGAGAGTAATGGACGATTAAAGCTTCCGCTATACGCACGCCAAACTATGGTTCCAAAACCAGATTTGGGTGTGATTAAATCAGATTGGATATTCAAACCGTGCAAAATAAGTTTCTAGGGATTCTTAAGGGTCGCTGAGTTCAGAAATTGCGGATACTTCCAAAAAATTCACTTTCTTAAAATTACAGCTTCAGAGCTCCACTTTAGAGGCCCACCAAAGAGCCAGTCGGCGCTCGATATGGGCTGTTTTAGAAAACTGTGAGGAAAACTTTTCTTAAAAAAGTGAATTTTTTGGATGCATCTATAATTTCTGAACTCAGCGACCCTCAAGAATCTCCAAAAACTTAATTTGCACGGTTTGAACATTCAATCTGATTTCATAACACCCAAATCCGGCTTTGGAACCACTGGCGCGCGAAAGTCGGTCGGCACGCGTATAGCGGAAACTTCAATCGTCCATACCTCTCGAACCCTTTGGTTCTCTAGCTCGACCACCCGTTCGATGCACAAAAAGACGAACAATTAAAAAAACTGGTTTTGGTTCAAATTAAAAATTAAAATCTTTGTAAATTCCTTTTAAAGAAATTTTTTCGACTCAAAAACTGAAAAAAAGCACACAAGTTAACTTAAAAATGTGATTTCGGGATTTTGACCTTTGGAATCTTAAAGAATGCAATGTTAGACAATTTTTGGTCCAGACCGTCTTAATAAATCACTCTAGATAATTGTAGTCTATAGGTTGGCTGCCCTTCTGGGCCCTAATAGCCCTACGGCCTAACCTTTGAATAGAGACTTTGCATGTGTCTGAAAATTGATGAATTTCGTGTTTAAGTGGAAACTACAGTGTGAACTGAATATGAGGATACCCATGGGTCATGAATTGAACAATTATTGGAGAATATATGACAAAATGATCTAATCTACTAAAATACATGTGTTTAACGGGACATGCCGCCAGATGACGTCACTAGGCGGTGCATTTTCTCACTTTTATATCTATTTTTATACTATTTCCCATAGCAGAAAAAAATTATGAAAATACCGTGAAATCAGCTGTAGCGCTCGCAGATGAAGCAATACAAAATTTGCATGCAGATTCTCTATTACCGCCATGTCATTACTCTCTCCGTGTAGGTACTCTACCTCTGATGAAGGCGTAATTGGGTCGGTGTTTCAGGTTTCGCGAACTTTCGGGTGTGGATCTGAGTGACATGCTGCTTTTCGACAGCGAAGCGAGAGGCACGGTCGACGCCGAGAGAGCCCGAATCCCGGCCGTCCTCGTTCGCTTCGGCATGAACTTGGAGGTCCTCGATGAAGGACTCGGCAAATTTGCTAAAGTCAAACAAGACCTAGAGGATCTATCCGGCCAAGAATAAGGGGGACAAGCTTAAAAATCTGCTTAGTTCCCGCCTGGGCATCCAGGGGCGCTGCGCCGCCGTGCCGTTTCGCGGAGCGAGGGGCGAAGTGATCTTACCTAGTAGCTAATGACATGAAGGACACAGGCTTCAGGCGGAGATGCAAATTTAGATGAAATTTTTCAAAAATTCTGCAGTGGGCTCGAGACTTTATGCCATGAAACTTAAGATAAGGTGAGGTTGGGTAACTGGGCGGTGGGGTAACTGGGCAGTACCCTCTGTATTTCTACCAGATTAGTGCAAAAATTGTTTTCACTGTTGGCATACCTTCATTATGACGTAAACCATCTAGAACATGTAAACATAACTTCAAAAAAAAATTTTATGGTGAATGGTGAAGTGCCGAAAATTGGACAGCTTTTTCTTCAAAAAAACGCCGGAGGTGGTCCCGAAAAGAGCCTCATATCTCACTCCCAGCAAGTATTTTATTCAACTTTGACAATTCTTCTTCATGTATGATGTATTTGTGTAATGCGTGAGTAATTACAACGTAATTGGATGAAAATACTGGCTGCAAAGGGTTGATGCCCAGTTACCTTGAAAATTTTCCCTTTGTGGGGTAACTGCAGGGCCCCCACCCCAAGGTAACTGGGCAGGTGGCAGTGGTGGCACCTGCCCAGTTACCCATTGCAAGGTTGCTGTGCTTCGGTGTTTGTTTACTTCTGAAAACGTCAAAACTAATTGACTATTGTGGACTTTTAAGTGTCAAAGACCAATAATCAGGGTTCCCAGCACACTAAACTTCTAACTTAAGTCAATTATAGCATAACTTAAGCATTACTTAATTACATTTTTGCCGCTAACTGTTATGACATCACTTTTAACGACTTAAACATGGTTATATAAATTCAAATGAAATTCTCTGAAACCCTCATGAGAAGGACATTCTTTTCTGGCCAATGAGAATTACAAATAATGCCCCCCTTAAAAATTAAGGGAACTTTTTGGCGCCTGACTCTATCCCAGATCAGCCTTGCGGCTTAATTTTTTTTCATTTTTTAAAAATGTATCATGCTTAATCTCACTAAAAGTGGCCAAACAGTGTCCTGGTATACAATACTACTTTATAAGTAGTATTACAGAAAGTTCTAAGCAGTTATCTACAAGGAAATAATTTTTTTTTACCGTTATTCAATTCGCAGATTTGAGGGTTTTTTTGCCGCTAACTGTTACGACATCATTCTTAACCACTTAAACATGTTTATATACATTCAAATGACATTTTCTTAAACCTTCATGAGCAGGACATCACTTTCTGGCCAATGAGAATTAAAAATAATGCCCCCCTCAAAAATTAAGGGGGGGGTAGTCCAGTTACCCCACGACGTTGGGTAACTGGGTGAAAAAAACGGGAAATTTTTGAAAATTTGTGGGAAAAAATTGAAAGATGAAATTCGACTTTTGACTCTTCCTACATTTAGACAAGGTGTTGTACTTACTAAAAAAAATTTAAAAGTAGCCTCCACTGTCAATATAATGATGGGAAAAAAATCATGAAGTTGAAATTTTGACATTTTTCTCCGAACTCCTGCCCCGTTACCCAACCTCACCTTATAGTAAAACCATGCTTTTGATTTCTTGAAGAAAAAAAATATAATTTGACAAATTACGAGGAATCTTTATGAATTCTCAAATAATTGTTGCGGGTCGCATACGCAGCTCCAGAGGAATGTTTCCATTTTTTATAGAATTTATTTACTTTTCAGAAAACCATAGTTTCATGCGATTTCATCTCGGGACTCCTAACATACATCTGATAAGGACCGAAAAGAAATCGAAAGGGTAAGAAGGGAAAAGGTATCCATACATGAGGCCCGCCGCGCGGGGGGCACAAAATGTGCCCAATCCCGTGAGACGTCAACCGTACAGTAGCGCTAAGATCATTGGACTGCATTTTGCGATTTGGAACTATAAATTCTAGCCCGGTTTAAAAACAGCGTATGTGCCATTAGTTTCCCTACGCACATGAGTGTTTTTCCAGAGGAGCCAGAATTTATAGTTCCAAATTTCAAAATGCAGTCCGTATAATAAATAGACTAAGTCAACAGGAGCGTAAGCCCCGTAGGAGCCAATGCTAACATTTTTCTTCCCAGGGTTCGTCAATCTTCGTACTTGTTGAAACCCTTTGAGTTGGCCTTCAAATATATTATGGAAGAGAAACATACAATGGGCCGTATGCAAAAAGACTTTTTTCGCCCCCNAAGACTTTTTCCCCCCCCCCCCCCCACTAAAACTTATTCAAACTTCGTCTATCAGTTACTCATACAGGAGCGCTTCTTTCCCCAAATTTTCAGACCACCAAAAAATTTTGGGGGGCGCTAGGAGAGGCGGAAGTCAAAACCTGTTAACTTCGATATCTTTCGAACGAAAAAAGATTTTGAGGCCCGGTTTGGACGAAAAATCGTCTAAAATTGCATGCTTTAAGATTCAAAAGGTCAAAATCCCAAAATTACACTTTTAAGTTAACTTATGTGCTTTTTTCAGTTTTTGAGGAAAAACAATTTCTTTTAAACAGACTAAACTGAAAGAGCACATTTTTGTATTTGAACCAAAACCAGTTTTTTAAATTGTTCGTCTTTTTCCGCATCCAACGAGTGGTCATGTAAGCCGGGGAACCGAACGGTTCCGGAGTTATGAGCGATTGAAAGTTTCCGCTCAACGCGCGCCGACCGATTTTCGCGCGCCAAAATATGGTTCCAAAGCCGGATTTGGGTGTTAATGAATCAGATTTTATGTCCAAACCGTGCAAAATACATTTTTAGGTACCTATTCTTGAGGGCCGCTGAGTTCAAATCATTAATATAAACTTCGAAGGATTCTGCCTTTTTCTATTTCACTCGAGGGGNCGGTTCCGGAGTTATGAGCGATTGAAGTTTCCGCTCAACGCGCGCCGACCGATTTTCGCGCGCCAAAATATGGTTCCAAAGCCGGATTTGGGTGTTAATGAATCAGATTTTATGTCCAAACCGTGCAAAATACATTTTTAGGTACCTATTCTTGAGGGCCGCTGAGTTCAAATATTACAGATACTTCCAAAAATTCACTTTTTTCCCGTAGCGTTACTTGAGACGCCCACCGAGTGCCGACCGACCGGCCGCTCAGTGGGCCTCATAAGTAACGCTACGGGGAAAAAGTGAATTTTTTAAAATCTGATTCATTAACACCCAAATCCGGCTTTGGAACCATATTTTGGCGCGCGAAAATCGGTCGGCGCGCGTTGAGCGGAAACTTCAATCGCTCATAACTCCGGAACCGTTCGGTTCCCCAGCTTACATGACCACTCGTTGGATGCGGAAAAAGACGAACAATTTAAAAAACTGGTTTTTTTTTCAAATACAAAAATGTGCTCTTTCAGTTTAGTTTGTTTAAAAGAAATTGTTTTTCCTCAAAAACTGAAAAAAGCACATAAGTTAACTTAAAAGTGTAATTTTGGGATTTTGACCTTTTGAATCTTAAAGCATGCAATTTTAGACGATTTTTCGTCCAAACCGGGCCTCAAAATCTTTTTTCGTTCGAAAGATATCGAAGTTAACAGGTTTTGACTTCCGCCCCCTTAGCGCCCCCCCCCAAAAAAAAAATTTGTTGGGGGTCTGAAAATTTGGGGAAAGAAGCGCTCCTGTATGAGTAACCGATAGACGAAGTTTCAATATGTTTTAGTGGGGGGGGGGGCGAAAAAAGTCGGTTTTGCATATACGGCTCTTTAAGCAACTTTACAGTATTCCTTTGGAGTAACGTACTTAATAAAGTAAGTGCGTAAAAACATCTCTTTTAAATCCTAAGAACGTATTTTTTTTAATACATTACCTACTTCTGGTGTCGATTCATAACATGGCTGTGTGTTGTTTAGTTTGCGGAATCAATCAGGCGTGGAGCTCGGTGATATGCTGTTTTTTGACACCGAATCGAAAAATGTCATGCTGTGGCGAAAAACCAGACTGCCATCCATCCTGTGTAAAAACGGCTTGACTCTCAAGAATGTGGAGAAAGGACTTGTAAAGTTCGCGAAATTAAAACGGAAGGGACTGCTGTGATGAGCTAAAATTCTATTTAAGGAGCCTTCGAGCAATCACATAATTAAATGGACGTAGGTACCTATTGAAATAAAAAGAACTATCTCCTCTTCTACATGGGCCCTGTTATGTATGTATTCTTGTAAGCCTCAGAGCCCACATTATAATAAAAATAGTTTTTTTTTTTTTTTTTTTTTTTTTTTTTAAATCGTCCCAAATATTAACCCTAGCTTGACTTAGTTGTTGCGTCCTTTTGACCGGCACGTTTCTTACGTTCTCTTACGTTTACTTTTACGTTCTTTTACGTTCACTGTTACGTCCTTTCACCTTAAATTTTACTTTCTTTGACGACGTACGAGCGACTGCAGGCTGATTATTGAAATTGATAGACAAAGAAGACATAAGGAAAATGAAGCGATCCTATCGATTCGGTTGAAACAGGTGATTTTTATAAACCTACCTACTTATAGGGGGAAAATAATGGACCATGTGGTCTCCCTTGGGTTGCCGTTAGTTAGTTTATTACTTACCTCCTTTGTCAAATTGGAACCATCAGCTTCTATACGCCAATCGTAACGCTCCATTTTCTCTTTGTCTTCTTTGCCCATCGTTTTGTCTTTCCATTTCAACAGTCACCTCACTAGGTACCTATTTAAAAAAAATTAAAGCAATGCGTACCTATAGATTTCAAGAAGAAAACTCATAAAAAAACTACATGTAGGCCCAAATCAGAGGAAACCCTGAATTTCTTTTTTGACCAAAAATCCACTTTGCATTTTAACAAGATTTTGTCCCTTTATTTTATGGAATTTTGAAGGAGAAAAAATTCAGATGAATTTTACACAACATTTTTTGTCTTTATATTGCATAACTTGCAGTATACTTTGTGTTTAGAATCAATGTGATTTTCAAAATTTAAGAAATTTTTGATGCCGATTTTTTTTGCATGGTTGTCTTACTGAATTGTGAATTTCACATATACGTTAATTAAATAAAAGGGAAAGGGTTGTAACTCGTACATTTCCAGAATTATTATTTTAATTCAGTTTTCAAGTAAAATCTTAAGTACTTAATATTCAGTCGATACACGTGGTTAGCGATAAAATGAATTAAATACTGAATGTTTCTAATCATTTAATCAATTAAGAAAAAAAAATACGGAAATCATAAGTGACATAGTTGGCTCGATAGTCTCAAGACGAGAGAGAAAGTTGAACTAGATGTTGCGATTATACAGACTGAAATTTCTGGCTCCTTCATGTAAACGCTTAAAAGCATATGGAAACTAATGGTAAACATATGTTGTTTCTAAACTGAGCCAGAAATTTCAGTATAACTAATCGCAGAATGAAATCCAATACATCTTCGGTTTAGTGTCCTAACTCTGCGTTGAAGTCTCCACGATACGGTGGCGTAGCGCGCTCCGCAATACATCGATTGATCTGCCATGTAAAATTTTGGAAAAAGATCGATCATTAAGGTGTTCGCAACGAGTATCTTAATAATCGATTCCTTACTATTGCTTCAAATGGGAAAATATCTAAAATCGATTATTCAAGCTTCGCCGCTGCGTAGTAACCATTCCCCTGACTTGGTTGGTACAGTGGCGATTCCATTGAGGTGGCAACAGTGGCAACGCCGGGTCTCGTCAATTAAAACAATCAATACAAGTATGTCAAAGTGTTTAAACCTAGACTTGATTGGTTGTAATAGGTTTAAATAGAGAGAAAAAACAATGCTACGACTTTAAAACAAAAACTAGGGCTGCGCCGATTTTATGTGTCAAGCATCTCTGAAACGTTCAGTTCAGTCGATAATGAATCCGCGAAATGGCAACACTATTTTCTCCGTTTAAATCCAATACAAATATCGATTGTAGGTTAGGTGACCCGTTTCGATACATATCGAATGTTTTGCATACATTCAAATACAGGATAAACAGTGATGCTATAACTCTTAAGCACTGAGCAGACTGCTTGGTTGGGCTTCCTCCGAGGAATTAAAATGGAAGATGAGTTTGAAACACTGCAAGATGACTATTTGATATAATTCTAATTCAATTGAAAGATATTATTGCAAAAGATGACATATTTATTTGCTAATAAAATGAAAAATTTCTAAGAGCAGATAATTGTGGACTCAATGGGAAAAACGTTTTTTGCAATATAGGTAATGATGAAATGTCAATGCGTTTTTTTCCTTTACTTTTTTTTTTTTTAATTTATTTTTTATTTTCATTCAGTCACCTTCTTGGTCCCTCGTGATTTTGAACAGAAAGTTTCCCCTGACTTAAGTAGCATTCTAAAAAAAAAGTATTGAAATAAATTGCAAATTTTTGAAATCATTTGACTAATAAATGACAATTCCATATTAAGGTGGACTATTGATAGGAAATTTGCAGTGCAAAAAAACATTTGCAACGATTTCGATTTTATCGTATCAATCATACTTGAAAGTCCCTTCAATTAGTACATAGGCAACACAAGTAACAAGTCGCTGCATCAGCAAGAATGGTACCTACCATGTAATCGTAATTGACTGGAACCTGTGTTCTTTGGCTATTTTCGGAGGGAATTTCCCCGTGGTTCGTGGTTGTTGGTCTTTTTCCTTCTTTTGAATTTTCTTTTTCGATCTCCCCTTATTCTGATAATTTTGTGAGCGAAAACAGGTTTCTATATCTGAACCTTCCTTATCCAATCGCAACTTCCAAGTGGCCGAAAAAAGTTTTCTCTGGGCAAATTCTACTTTCCATCACATATCATTACTATTCAACACGGAAACTGCTGTGCTGCAGAAAACGTTGAAACGTCATGTCGACGTTGCAAAATTTTATTTTAGATAAAATACCAATTTCTAGGGAAATCTGACATCGTTGTTTGCATAAAAAGAATAAGGAAAACCCGGAAAAGGAAGACATTCTTTTTCTACTACCTCTTTCTCTTTATTTCTTCCTTCTTCTCCTTTGACTAAGTTTTATTGCGTTTCTGTTAGACCATGTTCGAAATCCCTCCAAAAAGGTAGATAGGTGAGTGTTATTCTAATACTTTATCCTGTCCAATTATGACAAGTTGCAGGTCCTCGTGCTCTGAGTTTATAAAATGAGAAGAAATGGAGAAAAATAAGTGACATAAAAATAAAAAATAAAATTAATAAAAGAAAAATGAAAAAGGGAAATGAATGGGGGGAAAATGAAAACAAATACAAAATATTAAATAAAAAATACAAAAAATTAATAACTCAATAAATGAAAACCTCGCGATCGGAACGCGTGTTAAAGAAGCGAGGGGAATATTTCTCTCCTAATAAAATAAATGAGTGACCAACAAACTGACAAAAATAAATGATAATATAAAATAAGTGCGTGAACACATTCCTAATTACGAGTAGTTTAAATTTTTAAAACTACATTGTCTTTTTCGATGCACATTCTGTCACAAAGACCCTTTCCGCTTCAGTTGGGCAAATTGTGCAAGTCCCTTGTCAAGAGCTTTGAGGTTCATGCCGTGTGAGCAGAGAATTGACGGAATGCCCACTCGCTGAGCAGTTAAAATGTTTCTTGCTTCGGGATCGAAAAACAACATATCTCCGAGCTCCACGCCCGATTGTTCCTTCAGACTGAAACAAAATCAACAGTTTATCATATGTAGAAACAATGTACAACAGACATAGAGCACATAGAGTCGTAATGTAAGTGGGTGAGCTGGCGCCACTTTTAAGCATTTTCCAGGTCCCGAATTTGGAGACTCCTGTGTGACGCCGGGTCTCTTTTTCGATACATAATCGAGTGTTTGCGATACACGGGTACCCGGCCATTCGATGTAAACAAAGAAGATAGGGATCACCACGTATTCCGCACCGCCATCTTGGATCGAACTTGTATCGAAAAAGTGACCCGAACTCGGCGCACACCGGGCTCGGAACTCGTCGAGCAGAACATGGCGCCAGCTCTCCCATTTACATTACGACTCTATGTACTCTATGACAACAGAGGCCCTCCGCAACAGTGGTGATTCTTGAAAGTAGGCAACTTTCATGAAGTAGGCAACCGTCATTCATTGCTAAACGGGGCCAGATAAAACGCAAACCAGGTAAATCGCAAACCCCGAAGAAAATCGGAAACTGTTGGATGGTGATAGGGTAAATGAGTCAGTTGCGCTGGTCACAGAATCGTGTATTGATGCTTGATTCTTGTAGATTAGCGAAAAATAATAAGAAATGTCCAAACCGCAACTTTCTACTTAACCGAGATATCGCCCTCTGAAAACTTAGGTTCTTGACGTCATCCACCGCGGCAGTGACACCCTTGGTTTCTTCTTCTTTTGTTGGATTAGTGATGGAGTGCGTTGTGCGTTATCACCTGATAAGAAGATCTTTAAAGTGCGAATCCGTCTGTTCCTTGAGTTTGTTTACGTTTAACGTCGTTGAAGTTTCGAGTTGCACCCTCTGCATCACTGATTGAACTAAAGACTGACTTTTCATTAAGAAGTCAGGTTTTGAAAAGTTTTCAAAGGGCGGTATCTCGGTTAATATTGAGCGTAGAAAATTGCGGTTTGGACAGTTCTTATTATTTTTCGCTAATGTGCAAGAATCAAGCATCAAAACACGATTCTGTGACCAGCGCAACTGACCCATCGTAAACTCGGCGTTGATGGATCTCTCTCTCTCTCAAACTGCTAGCAAATCAAATCTTAGGACGTCAGCGACTTCAGGATGACGTTATAGTGACTTTGGGATGATAGACGCGTTGTTAAACTCAAAAAGTTAAGTCAGCGAAATGACGTCAGTCCGCCATTTCGGAGTACAAAGATTGCCTATGACGTAGTAATAGCAGCTCAGCCAGCTCAGCGGACCACGGGACATAGCTGAGCGCTGACCAATTTTGCTGAGAAAATGGCGGCCTTTGTTTACAAACTGGCAGCTCAGCGGATAACCTCAGAAAACGTTTAACAACACTTTCGCTGAGCTCAGCAACTCAGCGGATAAGTCAGAAGTCGCAATTCTGACTTTAACAACGCGTCTGATATTAACGACTTTAGGTTTATTTTAGGTTAGGTTAGGAGGGTAGGTAAGGTAGGTTCTTGGATTTTGAAATTTTGAAAATCAGATCAAAAATTCTACTTCCCCGTCGAAAAATATACCCCCGGAAACCGAGTCTCACGAAAATCGATCGAACAGGAGCCGATTTAGCATTATAGGCCACAGCCGCCATCTTGGATTTTGAAATTTTGAAAATCTGACCAAGAATTCGAGTTTCCCACCTATAAGTATCCTCCGACACTAGATTTCACAAAATTCCTTCGAAAAATACCCCCTAAAACCTGAAATTTCGTCTATAATGCTGTAACGTCACGCAACAGGATTAAACCTGTTCGGCACGATGCACATGAACAACCTCGTATCCCCGATGCATTAGTTTGGGGAGAAACAACTTTTGTTTTCTTTTTATTTGAGGTTTCAGCGGCATTTTTCTCCAAATTTGATTTTTCAGACTGTAAAGGTGGTTCTTGGCTTCATTCTTGCCAAGTTTGAAGGAAATCGCTTCGACAGTTTTTTTGTAAAGTGTTGATGAAATTTTGGCAACTTAGCTTTATATATTTAATACGAGCCAAGAGGGCAAAGAGAGAAGAGAGGCAAAGGAAGAAAGAAGAGGAGAGGAGGACGAAGATGAAAAATGAAAAGAAGAGGGCAAGAAGGAGGCAAAGGTGGAAGAGGGAGAGAAAAGGAGGAAGAAAATGTACAAAGGCAAGAGGACATGAACGAAGAGGCAGAAAGAGAAAAAGGAGGAGGAGTTACACTGTACCTACATTTTATAATTGGGAACTTTAATCTCTGACTCATCTGTAAAAACACTTAAAATCACGGGGAAATTAACATGAAGCATGGGGATAATGGTACATACATTGTATACATTGTTCTTAAATTGAGACATAAATTGTTGCTCCTAATTGCAAAATGTAGCCCTTACAGCTGTTGGGAGTGTGGCCTGTAACAGTAAAGACCTTGAGAGGAATTTGAGTATTTGCCACTTGTTATTCAACTATCGCAAAACGTTCCGAAGTTGGTGTCTAAAGGTCCACGTTGGCCCATTCCTGGATCTCCTCATTCTTGATTTTAGCGAACTCATCGAGACCTTTTTTGAGAACTTGGAGGGTCATTCCGAAGCGGACAAGATGGGTCGGAACGCCGGCTTTGCGGGCGGCTTCCGTGTTCCGCGTCTCGCTGTCGAACAGCATCATATCCCCGAAATCCACACCTGACAACTCTTTCAGCCTGCAACACGGGACGTTCAAAAATTGATTATATTCTCCAGAAAGAAAGTACTGTTTCTGGTTCATGAGAAACACCTATTTGCAAAGCACCATAGACATTTCTGCTTACGGAAAATCAGAATATGAAAGGGAGAAAGAACATGAAGAAGAACAATGTATGTACCATTATCCGCATGCTTCATGAAAAAACAGAGAGGAAGAGAAAAAGTGACACAAGGCAATTCTCAGAAGTGAATAGGTATTTTTTTAAGAAGTTTATTTTTTGGCTCCATACATAAGGACAAATTGCCGATTTTTCTGGAAAATTATGATGTAAAATTGCATGTTTTACTACGAGGCAAATCTAATAAGGTGTCGTAAGGCAAAAACGCCGAATCTCGACGACCGTTTACCGTTTTGGAGCTTTTCTACACCCCTGAATGATAGTAGAAAAAGAAACAGAAGAGGATGAATGACAAGAAAAGTAAGAGAAAAAGAATAGGATACGTTTTAGAATTAAGAAATGGAAGTGATATTCTAGTTCAAACAGAAGATACTGCGTGGGTATGGGTAGTACCTATTGTTAACGAGAAAAAAAATATCCACTTCGCTTCCTCAATCATTCTTGACTCTTTGTTCACGAATTTTTCGTGTAAAATATTTGAACCCTCATAATATATTTACCTTAGACGAGTTTCTTTTCTCTTTATCTTTTTAAAGTTTTTGGTATTTTTTTCCGAAGGAAATATCAAACCGTATTTAACATATGAGGGTCTTGGAGGACAAGGCGCATGAGTGCAGTTTTTGATACTTCAAGAATTTTTCACAGAATATATTTTCATTCTAGTTTTAGTCGTTCATGAATATCTCAATTTTTTTCGAAAACTGCACGTATGTGCCTTGTCCTCCAAACCCCTCATGCATATGTGGCGACAAAATCGATGACCCGCTATCCCCCCAAAAGAGAGCAGTCAGGGAGAAAGGATAAAAGACTGTGAAAGAGGTGGAAAAGAGCTGATTGGCCAGACCGCGTACCTTGCTCTAATCCGAAGAGAAAGAAAGAAGTCCTCAGCGCTGATCGGCCAGGCCGATCAGGATTAGCGGCGAGACCGCGTCCCTTGCTCTGAAGAGGGATGATAGTTGAAGGAAGGGGGGTTGGAAAGGCTGATCGGTAAGACCAATCAGGGTTAGTGGCCAGACCGCGCCCCTTGCTTCTGTGGAAGAAAAAGAGAGAACTTCTCATGCCGCAATCAGACGCTGAATTTAGCACCTGAATGTGGAAGTCAGCAGTCATCGCCCAACGGCTGAAATTTAGCAAATTCGAGTTATTTTCATCCAGATGTGTATTAAATCTACTCGAATAGTTCAGACAAATTCAAAATTGGTCCGATGGTTGCTGAGAATCGTTGCTGAATTTTGCGCGTGACGCGCAAAATTCAGGCATCGGGCCGATGACTTCCACATTCAAGCCACATTCAGCTCCCACATTCAGCGTGTGATTGCGGTGTCAGAGCTGACTGGCCAGACCAGCCAGGGTTACCAGCTAAAAGAATAGAAGTGATCAGAGTAGAGAAGGGAAAAGTAGGCGTTAAAAAAGTTAATCAAAGGAACAAATAATATAAAGAAAAGGGGACGAACAAAAAAAAGAACTAGCCAAATTCTCCTCGACGTATGAGTTTTTAATATCAGGAAAAAATGAAAAACGCTACTTACCAATAATTCGACAAAAATAGTAAAAAACACGGAGCAGGTAGATGAAAGAGAAAGAAAGAAAAAAAGAGATCGAAACAGAAGAAACGACTAACTACAAAAAATCCAAGTAAATCTACATTTTCAAAACCTACAACGCTCTACATAATCGACAAAACCCAAAAACCAAACGCCTACCTCGAGGATTGAGCTCGAATCCGTGCACCAGCTCTCGCCAACCATAGAGAGAGGAAAAGGAGGTGTTTACATCTCGAGGACTGTTTACCCCCGTGATGTAGGTCGGTACAGGTACTCAGGCAAAATCCGGAATTCGAAGTATGAAAAATGGACCATAACGTCCGATTTTTTTGCTTTAATCAACTCATGATATAATTTCCATCACGATACATAGAATGAAACCCGCTTTGACAGAAAACGACCAAAAAAAAAAATTAAAAGATTTTCATACCCGACTCTCATTTTTCCAGCTCCCTCTAGCCGGGAGCGATCGGACCAATACAAATCGCATACAAACATCGGCATTATTATCTCCAACTTCCCGCCAAGACTGAAACGAATAGTTTGTATAGTCTGTATAGCAAAGAATCATACCTTCGATTCACTTACTTTACCCTACTAACAGACCAAGATTCAACATTTCCCGCTTTTGAAACTACTGTCATTTTTCATCGGCGGGAATTTCAAATTTTGTCCCCTTTCTAAGCTCCCTGGTCTACTGTTATATGTATTAAAAAAAAAAAAACCTGGGTCCTATTTTTAAAACTGTGATCACAGCGGGCTCATCCAGGGACTGTCACCTGTCACTAGCCGCAAAAATCATGGAAAAGGGCCTTATAAAAGGCTTAAATGGTCTGTGACAAAAAAAAATTTACATTCTTTAAATTGGAGAATTCGCAACTTTACTACGTCATATAAAAAAGTGTGGGCCATATATCCAAAATCTGAATAAAGCGGGCTCATCTGAAGACAATTGCGTATCGATAACCACAAAAATTGTGAAAACCGGTCCGGTGAAATGCCAGAACTAAGCGTTACTAGAAATGAAAAATTTAGGATGCTTGAGAGCTTATGGTGTAGACGAGTTTTTGCGGGATGTGCACTGTACTAGAGTTAGTTATACATAATATGCTTGTACTTACTCTTCGAAATGGAATCGCTTGGAGCATGATTGGATGACGACATATTTAAAAAATTGTCTGAGGTCAAAATATCTGAGTAGGGTCTCCGTCGCTTCTCTATAATCTGCTCGCGCTGCCACGGCCAATGTGTGATTCGCCTCTTTCAATTTCTTCAAGATCAGCGGAACGTCGGGGTAAGGCTTCAGCACCAAACCTCTTTGATCGGTGACATTACCGTGCCTGAAAACGGAAAGAAATATTCTGCGGTTAAAAAAAAAATATGAAATATTAGTTTCACATCATGAAGGAAGGAAATGGCACTAACGTCAATGGTTCAAATTTGTCATGAAAAACTAAAAAATTCATGCGGTGTAATTAACCCCTGGACAAGATAAAAATTCAAGGACCACCACCAAAAAATTGTAGGTACCAAAAATGTTGACCAAAATGACTAAGCCAATGTATAGGGTGCCACTCAAAAAAAAATGTTACTTTAAGCTTGAGCAAGCTTGATTCAGCATGACGGGCGTCTTAAAAACGGGTACAAGCTTACATCATGTTACGGGAACATATCAAAAATGTTGAAGAAACATGATAGCCGTCATGTTAAATCAACATGACTATCAAGTTGCCATACGAAGTCGTCAAGTTGACTTAACATGCTGTCATGTTGATTTAACATAACAATCGTGTTGACGTACGAGTACGTCAAGTGCTACAAATTGAAATAAATTACGTTAATCGTATTTTAATGTAGTTACACTTCCGATACTACTCTCAACCCAGAGTCATCCCATCCGACCTATTAAATTTTTCCGTCTTTTTTGGGATTTGAACGCGGGACCTACCTATTACAAACGGCGTGTTCTAACAACCGAGCCATCCGGGCTTGTGGTTCCAAGTGACGAATTTTAAGTGTTTGCATATCCTACTAAATTACTTTTTCATTTTTTTGCCGTCTAAGTTCTGTGAAATGCATAACGCATCAGATTGTTTGGTTTTTCTTTTTTTCCATTTACTATTTACGAAAAGGAATTTTCATTATGCACCATATAAAAATTAACAATTTATCACGAACTATTTTTTCCCCTCCAACAACAATGTTTACTTTCTTCAGTGTTCACGATTGTCATTTTTATTCTTATTTTATATCATGATAATAATTAATAATTAATAATATAAATAAATCAAACATTGAAAATAAAAAATATAATCAAATAAGTAGGAACGTATGATTTTAAGAGCCTTAACCAGACGAGCGAAAATGTTTTTGAAAGAAGAATAATAAACTATCATCAACTTAAAAGTAATTCTTTTTGTTTCATGTGTAAGCATTATTACCATATTACCATTTATTTGTCATGGTGAGCGTTAGTAACGTTGACAAGTTATGATAAATATAACAAATGGAGTAGATTATAGTAAAGTTAAGAAATCGTTAGCGAATTTAAAGCTTATTTTTCACTCTTCTCAGTGGGTTAAAGGAAAAATTATTAAAATATTGACAAGGGGCCTCCCCGGAGATTTCCCTGTAGAAAAGAATAAAGCTATTTTGGAAAAAAAAAAAACAATGTACTAAGGTTTATATTGTAGCACAGACTAAACATTCTATTACAAAACATCTGCTCCCACTATTCCAAATTGAAATACAAGGAAATAACAGAGCTACAAAAGTACTAAAGGAAATAAATAGATTGGAGGAATATGTAGTTAAAATAGAGTATTTGAAACCGCATAGTATAGAAAAGTTCCTAAATACGCGAAATGTTTAAAGTTAGGACATACTAAGCGTTTTTGTTACCATAAACAGAAATGTACAGTTTGCCTAGGGGACAACTCTGTGGAAATACTTGCGTTTTTTCTTTTTTTTTTTTTTTCTTTTTTTTTAAGTTTCAAAGAGGATGCCAGCTTCTGAATTCAAAATATTTATTCTATTCTTGATCCAAATGGGGGAGGTCTCGTAAGTATTAAAATGGTTCCTTACATAACTATTGTAGGTCAGAAGAGTTAGGGCTACTGCGAGTTAGCGAAAAACTGAATAAAGTTCCTTGATGTATGAGAGTTGAATTTTTGTTTTTTTTAAAATGCAAAATGTAAATGAACGTGAGTTTAGGAAATGGTAAAAAATCTTGACTTCTTAAGATATCAAATATTTTGAGGTTTAAGACTGAAAGAACTGCTTGTTATATCCCTCGGCATCTTCTAGTAGGGAACAAATCCATCAATGTTTCCTTGTATTAGCGGCTCGTGCAACTAAACTTGCTTCAAAGGTAAGCTGGTTGCGTCAGAGACCATCTGAAGGGGACCACCGCTGCGGGTCTGCGTAGTTTCTCAAGCTGCCCGACAGAGGTCGTAGGAACGTAATGAGCTTTCCCTTCACTACATTTTCAAACTTTGTATCTAGCCTGATAAAGTGGTATTTTTCATTTTTTTCTCAGTTATTCCAAGGGTTATATTTACTATTCCTTGAGGGAAAGAAAAAAGAGGAATGTACACATCCGTGTGAAAAACAAACGCCGAAATGAGAGACTTCTATTATATGTCTCAAAAAGCGCATATTATATGTTTCATATTCGGAAAAAGTGATTATGAGATCCGAAGTTTCCTTACTACAAGTTTTAACACCACTTATCAGACATGTATACTGAAGAGGCTATATCTGACTGGTACACGGATAAGCGAAGTATTTTATGGCCCCATCATCTAGAACCAAGATTTCCTCGGGATTTCATATATACTAAAAAGTTGACTACAGTGTCTTATTAAAGAGCCGAAAAATCATCTACTTTCCACAAAAAATCGCTAAAAATCGATAAAACCGATCGATACATCGACTCGTCAACGTTTCAAATCGATTTTACGTGTAAAAATACGTAGCAATCGATGCGCTTGACGTGTGCCAACAATGGTAAGAACCCTGTGGTCACATCAATTCAACAAGAAAACAGCAAAAAATAAGGCCGGATTTTGACCCCTTTGCCCCCCCCCCCGGTAACTCTAAATCGGTTCCAATACTCATCTTGAAATTTTTTCCTGAGTTTTCTATTATTATAAGCTTCCATTTAAACCTTGGTCGAATCGAATACCGAAAAAGGGGCGAAATTTTGGGAGGCTCTTTAGCACGCAAAACTTGGAAACTGTCAAGATAACTGGCAAAAACGAGACAAAAAGTAAGCAAAAAGACAGGACAGGAGATACCTCTAAACTTCGAGTTTTTTTATCTCTGAGAGTTTTTGACCAACCCTAGAACAAATTTTTGTTTTTCTACAAAAAGTATAAAAAAACATATCTGTTATCTAAATGGTAGTTTTATACATATAAAAAGCGTGTAACGCTTATATAAAAAAAATCTAAGATCAGACTTGACCATGAAATATGAAAAATGATAAAAGCTAGATAAGGTAATTTTTTTTAAAGAGACAAGTTTTTTTTATTTTTTTATATAACGCATGCATACGAAAGTGTAAAAAGTAAACATTTTTTTGTAACTATTATATATGAAAAAAGTTCATCATTTTCATGAGCTTTTCGCGAATTAGAAGATTTTTTAGTATGCTTGCGAAAATCTCACGAAAATTATGACTTTTTTTATATAATGATTACATAAAAATGTTCACTTTTAACACTTTCGTATGCATGCGTTATATAAAAAAAATTAACTTTCGCACATAATCATTATATCTTTTCCTTCTATGGTTCTGCTATGGAGCAGTGAAAATTCAGACACATTCTGAGACGATGAGTTGAATGACTGGTTGGAATGATTATGAGATGGCCTTTATCTACCTCTCCTTATTCCTCTTCTTCTTCCTCTTCTTTTTCTTCTCATCCTTCTGCTTCCTTCTCCTCCATATATTTCTCCTGCTTTTTCCTCTTCTCCTCATTTTTCTTCATCCACTTCTCCATCTTCCTAGTCTTTACATCTTCTTCTTCCTCTGTTCCTTCTTTGTCGCCTTCGTAAACATCCTTTTTCATCCCTTTCTCCTTTTTGCTGTTCATCTTTTCTCTCTTCTTTTTTTCCGCTCATCATTTTTCTCCTGCTTCATCTTCTTTATCTTCCTCTTCCTCCTCCTTCTTCCCCAGCTTCTCCTCCCTTCTTCTTTTCCTTTGTATCTTCTCCGTTTCCTTTCCCTTTCCCTAATTTTTTATGCACCCCTACTTGAGATGATGGACTATGTTTATTTGCAAGGAAGTAACTACCATTTCTAGCTCATTCACAAAAGCACCTATCTGCGTAGAGAAACTAATGGCACATATGTTGTTTCTAAAATGAGTAAGAAACACTCGTTCCTTTTCGCAAAATGTAGTACGTGTATGTTAGGAGATCTCAGCTACATTGCACATCTTTGGGTTTTTTTTTCCAGAACTGTTTACGTGGCATAACCCATATATCTAATTTTATCCAGCGGATTGATTGTTGCATCATTATCGAATGACCTAGATCGATAAAATAGCATTGTTAAGATAGGAATTATTTATCAAATAGATCATTCGATAACGATTCAGTCTATATAGAACGACAGTGATCAATAAAATAGCCAGATCTAGTTAAGATAGGGATTTATAGATCAAAGTCGTCCGATATTGTGAGTCAGTAATCAAAACGGTGGGTCTTGCAGACTCGGGTCTGTTAGACATTTCCCAGTGGTATTGACTAGCTAAATAACTTCAAAAAAAAAACACAAGAAAATGGGACTGCTGCATGCAAGAGATACAGCCGTGCGAAGAGACTTTTTAGAGGTTAAATGACACGAAAATTACGGTGGTCACATTAAGAAAAGTCTGAAATACACTACTTACTGCGCAATTTGCGTTGTTAGGAACGCGCTTTTTCAAATTTCCCGCGTCTGGGGGCAGTTTTCTAACGGAAACAATTAACGGCAACTCGCGGCTATTTCCGCTCAACTAAAACTGACAACATAACCTAAAAATCGGAGCTCGTGATATGGTGAAATGAAATGTAGAAGGATTGCGTTGGATATTTAAAAGTTGATCGATTTGGTTACCGCATAAAGCGTATATGGACCACTATAAGAGATCACGTTGGGTTTGTAAACAAACTGAAGGAAAAAATAACAACAACAAAAACGACTCGGCATCTTCCGGAAATCACCGAGCCCTCCGTTTGCTCGTTTCCGGTGATTAGAAAACTGCCCCCAGACGCGGAAAATTTGAAAAAGCGCGTTCCTAACAACGCAAATTGCGCAGTAAGGAGTGTACATCAGACTTTTTTAATGTGACCATTGTAATTTTCGTGTCATTTAACCTCTAAAAAGTCTATTCGCGCGGCTGTATCTCTTGCATGCAACAGGCCCATTGTTACCCTTTGTTGCACGGTGGTATACATGTCATACCACTTCGGTTTTTAATTTTTACAGCGCTGCCGATGTGATGAGCGGGCTCAACTACTGAATCATTGGGTCCAATATACCTCTAGTTATCATTGCTAAATGGTATGACCATTCATTTTTACAAAGTGACATGGCTACTGCGTATTGTATGTCATGAAAACCCGGTATTTTAGGTTATGTCGGATCCGCATTGTTTTTCTTCGAGTCGTGTGTGAAAAATAGGTGTTATTTTTTAGATAAATGTGATTCTCTAATCTAACTAGCCGTAATTTACTAGGTGCATTGCAGTTTTTACTTGATTTTTCATTTTGGTCGATTTTCTGAGCTGAAATAAAGTGGTATGACAGTTATACCACTGCACACACAGCATTTTGTAGAAAAATCAATTTTCTGTGCATTCTCGAGGAAATTTTTCTCCCCGTTTCAAGTTTTGATCCCAATGTCACTCGAGAACCGACATTTCCTTGTCCTAAGCGTATTTTTCGGGTGAATACCTCTCAAATTCAGTCGCCATCTTGGATTTGGGGCACCCTCTTTGACCGGGTTTTTTTTTATGACTGCATGCTTGAAATGTGCGACTAAAGTGATACAAGAATTGAAATCTAACTTGTCTAATCACATAAAATCCAAAAAATGCTCCCTCCTACCTTTCAAAATTGGCAGCCATCTTGGATTTAGGGTACCCCCTTTGAAAAGGAGGCCTTTATGACTTCATATATGAAATTCACAACAATAATTTTATCAGAATTGATATCTGATATTGATATCAGATGCCTGATCACGTAAGAATTTAAAAAATACACCCTCCTACCTTTCAAATTTGACCGCCATCTTGGCTTTTGGGACACCCTCTTTGACCGGGGAGGGGGGGGGTTGGTGGGGGTGTTATGACCTTATATATGATGTGGGTGACCAAAGTGACATTGGAATTGATACCTAACTTGCCTAATCACTTATAATTTCAAAAAATGCACCCTCCTGCCTTTTAAATTTGGCCGCCATCTTGGATTTAGGGCACCCCCTTTGAGCAGGAGGCCTTTATGACTTTACATATAAAATTTACGAAAAAAGGTTCATCAGAATTGATATTTCAGGTGTCTGATCAAGTAAAAATTTAAAAAATACACCTTGCTGTCTTTCAAATTCGGCCGCCATCTTGGATTTGGGGCATTGTCGTTGACTGGAGGGCTTTTATGACTTCACATATGAAATCGACGACCAAATTTACATCAGAATTGATACCTCACTTGCCCAATAACGTAAAATTTTTAAAAAAATGCACCATCCTGCCTTTCAAATTTAGTCGCCATCTTTGATTTGGGGCTTTTTTGTTGACCGGGGGGCTATTATGAATTCTTATATGAAATTTTGAATCCTTATATGAAATTTTGGACCAAAATTTCATAAGAATCGCTATCTCACTTGCCTAATCACGTAAAAATTTACGAAATGCCCCCTCCTGCCTTTCAAAGTCAGACATCTTGAATTCGGGGCAGTATCTTTGACTGTCGAGGGGGGGGGGGGCTGTTTTGACTTCATACATTAAATCTACTACCAAAATGACCCAGAAAATGATACCGCACATGCCACTCTTTATTGACCACAAATATTCTTTAGTTTTTTCCTCCCCCCCTCTCCCACAAAAAAATAATTTTCCCGTAGAACTTCAAATATACACCCCCTTTCTTTTTCTCCTTTTCCCCCATTCCTTCCACCTTAATTCTGTGAAGTCACAAAGTTTTTAGATTTTGACCTTTTTCATATTCATTTAAAAAAAATTTTGCTTGTGTTTGAAATTTAAATTTTGACTTTTTTTTATTTATTTATTTTCATCTTGACTACCGTTCTCCACTCGCTGGTACCCCCCCCCCCCCACCTATACTTGACCCAAAAATGATATATGTGATAATCGATATCACTAAAATTAGAAAGTTGAAATCATACATACATACATATGTACTCTATATATTAAAATCCAATGTGGTCAGCAAAGTGGTTTCACAATTATACCACCGCACAATGACAAACCTGGAAGGTGAGTGTGCGGTGGTATGACAGTTCTACCACTTTTCCTACCCCTACAGTATTTTAGAGAAGGGATGAAAACAATTTTTGAAGCGTTTTTTGTGCTTATCTTTATCATTAAAATTTAACCATAACATTTTTTTAAAAAAAATGAAAAAAAAATTTCCGTGCAACAAAGGGTTAAAAAAAAATTAAAAATGTTTAAAAAATCATCGAAAAGGCTCGAGTTGTCGGCAACCGTTTTTCCTCTTTCCATGGAAAATGTGTGTGAAATTTATCCGTTCATTAAAATAAGTTATAAAGAAAAATTCACATCAAAAATTTTGTTAAATCCCAAAACTTTCTTTTATATAGATGCTAAACAAAAAACTAAATGCAAAACATGCTAGGTAGGTAAAAAAAATAAAATCACAGCAAAATTCGTGTAAAAATGTTATCAAGGCGATGAAAGACTTGCAAAAGAGAAAAATGTGGCATTTTCACGTAAAAAATAGAAGAAGGTCTCTTAACTCAGATATTTTACACAGTTTTTCACGAGCTTTCTCTTTGAAAACAAGTTTGTAAAGTTTTTTAACAGCCTGCACGAACTCACTCGTCTTTCTTGAAAGGAGGGATCACGTTCGTGTAGTCCACCCAAAACGGCCACAGTAAATGATCTGGGAAAAAGAATAAAAAGGAGGTTTCATGTATTGGTCGGAAGCAGTCTGTCAAATGATGAATGTAATGGACATTCATGTTTCGTCTACGACTTTTTTTTAGAATTCAAGCTATACGTTCGAGCTCTCTGTGGAATTTGGATGAGGACACATGCTTTAAAGACGTCTAGCCCTTTTCCCTATCTTTTAGTCCATTGTAGCGCCGAGCTTGTCGCTCAGAGGCAACTAGGGCTGTTCTATCGGTTATCGGTAAGCTACCAAAACAGTTCCATCAAGAAAAAGTTACGATAAAAGCGCTCCTGCCGATAGTGATCAGAGTTTTCGGAGCTGACGAAAATAAGCTATTGCCATTTGTACATCTATTTTACGCGCCGCCGCACCAAGCAATCTGATAAACCGACACACGGGGCAAAAATGCACTGAGTGCGAGTTCTCAAAAATCCGATAAGCCCGGCTGTTAACGATATCATCGCCACTGTCGGTACTGCCGCCAGTTTCGGCAAGAGACAATATCGATAGTGATCAGGCAAGAATTCGTTTGAACACCCATAGAGTACCTACATTGAAAGAGTGTGGCCACTGGGCCCCATAGAGAGGCTTAAGACCCAAAAGCGTCGGTGCTTTGTTTTGGTTTTTGCGGATGCGAGGGGGGTCATTGCCAAGTTTTGACGGTTATCACCAACCGCACTTGCTGCCAACCTTACTACATCTACGTGTAAAATAATTTTTCGCAAAAAGTGCACACGATTAGCCTTAAAAATATGTAAAGAAGTCGCAATAGTGCATTTTTGTAAATTCCTCGTTACGATAAGCAAAGAAAACTACATTTTGAGTCATTTTGCATTACATTAATTTATGGCGTCCGCCATTTTTGGTGCCTAAGGGCTCCATTCAGCCTGAGATAGCTGAGCCAATCAGAGGTGGTATCACCAATGGCCATACTCTCTTAATATAGGTACTATAAACACCCATAGAGGCAACTATTTGTGCGCTGCGACTGTCCGCGTTGCAGATATACCTACAGATAAATGCAGACGCTGGGGCGCCGCACCTAAGATGATAGAATAAGGAAACATACTTTTCGATTTGCAACGTGGCGATTTCTCGTCATACTTATTTTGCTTTCTCGACGAAACACGGTGACCAATATCTCTTAGAAATGACTGGGAATTTTTTGTTCAGAATATTTTCTTATTATTTCTGCAGAAGAAATTCGTGACACTGTTCCCTCGCCCC